TTTAGAGTTAGGGTTGGTCTTAACATAAGCTAATATGAATGGGAAAATAGGGAAGAACCGTTGGTGGACCTCTTCTTCAGCCTAACCCTGAGTTTAATTAGCAGTTTAATTTCAGAATCAAAATATAATTAATTAGTTAATCAGATTTGTTCAGTTTATTTTCTATTAAAAACTATAAGTATTTTCAAAATTGTTTAAGTTAATTATTATTGTCTACGTTTTTATAAAGTTTAATGTGTGATTGTTTTTGTGTGTTTGTTTTCTCCCTGAGTGACTTCTGAGTTTGGCTTGCTTATGTAGTTCCATCTCTTATCTGTTATCCTTTATCTTTATTTTATTTGCATTTTTATCTTTTTAGAATCATCATTCAAACCCCCCATATCTTTTAGTTTTAGTTATTTAGTTTTAGTTAGTTTTTATTCAATAAATGTGACAAGTGAACTGATTTTCATAGCTAAAAGAGTATCTTTCCTCGTGGGATCGACCCTTACTTGCCCTATCTATATGTTTTAATGAATATTAATTCATAAAGGGGGTTAAGAGTTAAGGAAAATAATTAATTAATTTGTAGGTGCTACGACACGCCTATCAAATTTTGAGGGTGTGTATAGATTATAGGAAACTGAACAAAGCCACTAAAAAAGACCATTTTCCGTTACCTTTTCTTGATTCTTTAGTTGAAAGATTAGCTGGAAAATCTCACTACTGCTTTTTAGATGGTTATTCTGGTTATATTCAAGTACTTGTTGCCCCGCAAGACCAAGACAAAACCACTTTTACATGCCCTTTTGGCACATTTGCTTTTAAAAGAATGCCTTTTGGCTTGTGTAATGCACCGGCTACTTTTCAAAGAATGCCTAACCCTGAGTTTAATTAGCAGTTGAATTTCAGAATCAAGGCATAATTAATTAGTTAATCAGATTTGTTCAGTTTATTTTCTATTAAAAACTATAAGTATTTTCAAAATGGTTTAAGTTAATAATGTTTAATGTGTGATTGTTTTTATGTGTTTGATTTCTCCTAGAGTGTTCTTCTGAGTTCGAGTTGCTGCTGTGGTTCCATCCCTAGACTGTTATCCTTTATCTTTATTTTATTTGCATTTTTATCTTTTTAGAATCATCATTCAAACCCCCCATATCTTTTAGTTTTAGTTATTTAGTTTTAGTTAGTTTTTATTCAATAAATGTGACAAGTGAACTGATTTTCATAGGTAAAAGAGTATCTTTTCTCGTGGGATCGACTCTTACTTGACCTATCTATATGTTTTAATGAATATTAATTCATAAAGGGGATTTAAGTTAAGGAAAATAATAAATTAATTTGTAGGTGCTACGACACGCCTATCACAATAATTTTAAGATGGTCAAAGAGGCAGAGGAGGAGGCATCCAAAGCTGAGATTCTTTTTGAAGAGAATCCCTCTTCTGAAAATAAAACTCTTTATAACCAGAAGATGGCCCAGCTTGTAGAGATGACCAATAGGGAATATGCTTTCTGGAAACAGAAGTGTAATCTTAAATGGCTTCAAGATGGTGATGCTAATATCAAATTTTTTCATAATCTGGTTAAGAATAGAAGAAGACAGCAACAGATTAATCTGCTTATTAATGATCAAGGAAAAATCATTGATAAACCTGATGAATTAGAGGCTCTTGCTGTTCAACATTACACCAATCTCTTGAATCAAGCAGAACCTTCTGGTTCTCCAGAACTCTATGGGTAGTTTCTTGATACCATTCCTTCTTTGATTGACCAGGGGCATAATGATTTTCTTATGAGCCTTCCTACTGAAGAAGAGATCAAACAGATCATTTGGCAGATGGATCCTAATTCAGCAGCTGGCCCAGATGGTTTCAACATTACTTTTTTCAGAAGTTGCTGGGATTTCATTAAATCTGATGTGGTATCTGCCTGCCAAGAGGTCTTTCTTTGCCTTCCTCTACCACAAGCAGCAGCCTCCTCAAACATTTGTCTTCTTCCTAAGGTGGATAACGCTAGGAAGCTTAATGATTTTAGGCCTATATGCTTGTCCACTGTAGCCTCTAAGATTGCTACAAAATGCATTGCTAGCAGGCTCAGTACTTTACTTCCTCTCATTATTTCAGAGGAGCAAGCTGCTTATGTGCCAAGGAGGGAAATTCTGGATCAGATCCTTATCACTAAGGAGATGGTTCAGCATATTAATAGAAAGGTTAATGGGGGTAACTTGATAGTGAAGCTTGATATGGCTAAAGCCTTTGACAAACTTAAATGGTCATATCTTTTTGATATTCTCAGGTCTTTTTGTTTTTCTTCCAATTTTATTTACATGGTTAATAATCTTCTTGCCTCCTCCAAATTTTCTGTCCTACTGAATGGTAAACCATGTGGTTTTTTTGGCCAATCCAGAGGAGATAAACAGGGTGATCCCCTATCTCCCCTCTTGTTTATTATTGCTAATGAAGGGTTTTCCAGAAATCTCAATAGATTGGTTGAAAATGGGCTCATTGGCAGGTTTAATTGTGGCAGAACTTCTATATCCATCTCCCACCTGTCTTATGCTGATGATATTTTAATTTTCACCTCTGGACATTCCAGGTCTGTCCTTAATCTCAAAAAATTTCTCCATGACTACCAGATGGTCTTTGGGCAGACCATTAGTTATGGCAAAAGCAGCTTCATGACTGGCACAAAACTCAACTCACTAGCTACTTATCTTGGGGTGCCTAATGATTTGGGGATTACTAGGAAGATTCACTGCTCCAAACTCATCCAGTCATTTGATAATAAATTAAATGGCTGGCTTCAGAAGAATTTGGATCAAGCTGGACGTTTGGTGCTCATCAAGCATGTTTTGAACACTCTTCCTAACTATTTCTTGGGAGTCAATACCATTCCCAAGGCCATCTCTCATTTGCTTGAGCAGAAAATGGCCAGATTCTGGTGGGGTGGTGGTAACAGACATCACTGGATTAGTTGGGAGAAGCTCTGTTTCCCTAAGGAAGAGGGGGGTCTTGGCATTAGAGATCTCAAAAGCCTGGAGGACTCATTCGGCCTTAAACTTTGGTGGAAATTCCACCAAGACAATGGTCTTTGGGCTAGGCTAATGAGGTCCAAGTACTGGAGGGAGGGGGATATTTGGGAGGCCTTGACTGATTCCCCAGTCTGGAAGAGGATTTCTAGGATTGATGAAATTGCTTCTAATGCTTGTGCCGTCAATGAGGATGGATCAATGGTTTGGTCTCTTGAGGCAAATGGTTCTTTTTCCCTCAAATCTGCCTTTGATTTTTGCAGGCCTTCTTTTCCCATTGTGGCCTCTTTCAAATATCTTTGGATGAAACCACAGAATCCTAAGGTTGGGGTGTTCACTTGGAAACTCTTCAAACATTGCCTCCCTATTCCTGAAAATCTGCAAAGATTAGGATTCCACCTGCCTTCTATTTGCCCCTTCTGTAGGGCAGATTCCTTTGCCTCTAAACATGTGTTTCTTGACTGTCCACAGATTGAGGAAGTTTGGAAACATTTTTCTACCTGCCTTGGTTTCTTGCACAGATTCTCCTCCTCCATCAATCAACATTTCATGGATTGGTAGCTGAGAGGAAATTGCAACAACATCTATGGATTTCTTCGTATGCATCTCCCGGGTATCATTTGTTGGCAACAACATCAATCAACATTTCATGGATTGGTAGCTGAGAGGAAATTGCAACAACATCTATGGATTTCTTCGTATGCAACAATTCGTATGCATCTCTTAGCTAAGGAGGATAGGGACAAAGATTGTTCTTTCATTGAATATTGTCATTTTAGGGACTGTCCTTCATCTGAAATGGCCGCTCTTATCAACGAGCGCCTCCCCTCATTTCGTTTTAATTAATAAAATTTTTTCTTCCGGTTATATATATATATATATATATATATATATATATATATATATATAAAGAAAATGCATGCCGAATATTTTTAAATATGGCAAGCACAATTTGTGGAGTAATTGATTTGTGATATTGCATGGCTTGGAGAGATACCATGCATGGATCACGGCACACTTCAAGGGATTGGTACTCCTATCAATATTTTTTTCCTAGTTTGTATATAATTGGTGCATGGTAGAATTGTATAGGGATTGAGTTTCCTTGTATTAGCTAGATATATTTATACTGTAATATGCCATGGACAAAAGACAGAAAAAAATATTCTTCCATATTGGACCTTTTCATGGTATCAGAGCCGGCGGGCCTTATTTTTTTCCGTAAATCTTCTTTGGTGTAGATGTACATGACGAATTCGGGAGAGAAGAAATCCGACGGCGACACCGGCGGAGCTCCTCAACATCGTACGATCTCGCCATACGATATCCAGGGTCGCGAACGACCCGAAAACACTGGCCAGGGCGCTAGAGGACAGCACCCGCACGCTGCACATGCCGCTGTAGTAGGGCTGTCGGGAAGCAGCAGCGCCGGTGAGTCCTCCTTTGGAAGCACGGTAGTTCCTTCTCTCTCGGCTGAGCAGTGGGAGACATTTAGGGCTCTTTTAGCCTCTGTCAAGGATGCTCCGTCCGGAAAATTGTCAGGTATTCCTATTACTAAATGATGGATTATAGATACCGGTGCTACGAATCATATGACAGGAGACTTGCACAGTTTGATTGATGTACATTCTATACCGGGTTGTTGGATTCGTTTGCCGGATGGAAAGACGGTAACGGCTACAACTGCGGGTCGTGTTAGACTCAATGACTCTGTTGTTCTGCACAATGTTCTATTCGTTCCTGATTTGAACTGTGATTTACTCTCCGTGTCTCATTTGATCAAGGAGACTAATTGTCTGGTAAAATTCGACGGCCCACTATGTTTGTTACAGGACCGTACCACGATGCAGGTGATTGGTGCGGGTAGACAATCTGATGGCTTGTACTATTTTCAACACGCCTCCGTAGGTTGTGCATTATCCAGCGTGAAGGAATGTCAGTTTGATCTGTGGCATCGACGACTTGGACATCCGTCACCAAAAGTGTTATCTTTCTTATCAGTTGCTAGTGATAGTTCATCAACTGTTTTGAATAATGGGCCTTGCGCTATTTGCCTGCATGCAAAGCAGTGTCATACATCTTTCCCTTCCAGTATCAATAAAACCACAGATTTATTTCAAGTGATTCACATTGATGTATGGAGTCCCTACAGGACACCAAGTTTGGATGGTTTTACTTCATTTTTGACTATAGTGGATGACTTTTCTCGTGGTACTTGGGTCTATTTATTGCGTGCAAAATCCGAGGTGCCATCCGTTTTTCATTAATTTTATGCTTTAATTGATCGGCAGTTTAATAAAAAGTTAAAGATTGTCCGAAGTGATAATGGAACTGAGTTTGAATGTCTCAATTCTTTCTTCCATGAGCAAGGTATCTTACATGAGACATCGTGTCGTGGGACACCCCAACAAAATGGTAGGGTTGAGCGTAAGCATCGACATATTCTAAATGTTGCGCGCGCCCTACGTTTTCAAGCTTTTCTCCCAATCGAATTTTGGGGGGAGTGCATACTTGCTGCGGCATATTTAATCAATCGGACCCCCTCCACCGTTTTGAAAGGAAAAACCCCGTATGAACTCATGTTTGGCTATCCACCGACGTTGAACTCCATTCGTACTTTTGGTTGTTTGTGCTACGTTCATAATCAAGATCGTCATGGCGATAAATTTGAAACTCGTAGTGTGCCGGGTGTATTTTTGGGCTACCCCTACGGGAAGAAAGGGTGGCGTGTCTACTGCCGGGATACTGGGAAATTTATTACCTCTCGTGATGTAATTTTTCATGAAAATGTCTTTCCATTTCAGGAAGCAAATTCTTCTCCTACAGATGCTTCATTGGACAACTTGCAGCCTAGTTATTTATATGATGAAGATGACGTGCAGATTCCAGCCAGGGGGGGTTTTGCTCCAGCCGCTACTCCCCAGTCCACTGCCGAACTGCCGAAGTCCATTGTTGAAGCCCAGCCTACTGTCAATGTCCAGCATGAACTGCCGAAGTCCACTGCCGCAGCACAGTCTGCTGTCCAGCCCGAACTGCCGCAGCCCAGTCTGCCGAAGTCCACTGTCGAACTGCCGGCCACTGCCGACGTCCAACCGGTCCTTCCCAGTGCCGAATCAGCCCCTGTTTTGGGTCGCAGCCAGCGACAACGGACTCCTAATGTGCGCCTAAGTGATTATCAGACCTATGCTGTCACACATGGTGTTGCCCCTGAGATTCCAAATTGTAAGTATCCTTTGACACATTACATTGGATATGCTAAGTTTTCGGCGGGTCACCGGGCTTATTTGGCTGCTGTGGATTCTGGACATGAGCCCCAACTTTATAAGGAGGCTGTGAAGTCGCCGCATTGGCGGCAAGCAATGACTGCCGAGATCGATGCACTATAAAAGAATGACACTTGGCAACTTGTTCCATTGCCGCGTCACAAAAAGGCATTGGGTTGCAAGTGGGTATACTGTATCAAGCGCAAGTCCGATGGCTCAATCGAGAGATACAAAGCTCGCTTGGTTATTTTGGGGAATCACCAAGTTGAAGGTATTGACTATCAAGAAACCTTTGCTCCCGTTGTTAAACTTACTACTGTTCGGATTCTTCTTGCTATTGCCGCTACACGCAATTGGGAGCTTCACCAAATGGACGTTCACAATGCGTTCCTTCATGGTGATTTGAGTGACGAAATCTATATGCGACCCCCTCCGGGTTATCGTTCTCAAACGCCTGATTTGGTATGCAAATTACGAAAATCTCTCTATGGCTTAAAGCAAGCACCGCGGTGTTGGTTCGCAAAACTGTCTGGGGCATTGCGTAGGTATGGCTTTGTTCAGTCGCATTCTGATTACTCATTGTTCTCTTTTCACAAAGGCGGCTCTGTGGTGCACATTCTTGTTTATGTTGATGATTTGGTGATAGCCGGGAATAACTCTCTTGAAATTACCCGTTTCAAGCAATATCTTTCTGATTGCTTTCATATGAAAGATTTGGGTGTCCTCAAATATTTTTTGGGCGTTGAAGTCACCCGGAATTCTTCAGGTATATTTTTGTGTCAACGGAAATATGCCCTTGATATTATTTCTGAGACAGGCTTACTTGGATGTCGTGCACTTGGCGCTCCGTTGGAGCCGAATCATAAATTGGCTTTGGCTACTGGACCACTTCTTGACGACCCCAGGGCATATCGTCGTCTGGTGGGACGTCTTGTCTATTTGTCTGTTACTCGTCCTGATCTGTCTTATGCAGTACATACTTTGGCTCAATTCCTTCAGGAGCCGAAAATTGATCACTGGAATGCTGCTCTAGGCGTGGTTCGATATCTTAAAGGCACACCCGGGCATGGAATTCTTTTACATTCTGATAGCTCTCTTTTCTTGACTGGATGGTGTGATTCTGATTGGGCTGCTTGTCCCTTGACTCGTCGTTCTTTGACTGGTTGGTTTGTTCAGCTTGGAGTGTCCCCTATTTCTTGGAAAACGAAATGTTCCTCATCCAGCTCCTATGCAGATTTTTTGTGATAGTACAGCAGCGCTTCATATCGCTGCAAATCCCGTGTTTCATGAGCACACTAAGCATATCGAGATTGACTGTCACTTTGTTCGTGATGAGTTATTACGTGGTTCCATTCGTACATCTCATGTCTCCACTCATAACCAGTGCGCGGATATTCTTACGAAAGCTCTGGGTAAAGGACGGTTCGATGCTTTACTTCCCAAGTTGGGCGTTTGTTTGTTACACGCTCCAACTTGAGGGGGGTGTTAAAGAAAATACATGCCGAATATTTTTAAATATGGCAAGCACAATTTGTGGAGTAATTGATTTGTGATATTGCATGGCTTGGAGAGATACCATGCATGGATCACGGCACACTTCAAGGGATTGGTACTCCTATCAATATTTGTTTCCTAGTTTGTATATAATTGGTGCACGGTAGAATTGTATAGGGATTGAGTTTCCTTGTATTAGCTAGATATATTTATACTGTAATATGCCATGGACAAAAGACAGAAAAAAATATTCTTCCATATTGGACCTTTTCATATATATATATATATATATATATATTTCCAAAAAGAGATTTTATTGAATAAAAGAAAAATACAAGAGGTGAGAGTGGCCTGTCCCCAACAAGCTGGCCAAAAGCATAAAATAAGGCACTAAAAACGAGTCAAACCAAACAAAAGAAAAGAGTACAAATATGGTAATTTAAGGCTGGCAACAGAGAACCCAGAACCCAGAGTTTGTTGTCTTCCTATTGGAATCCCTGCAACCTTATGGTCCTTATCCTCCGATTGAGATTTTATGGTTTGGAAAATTCATTTCCAGCCTTCAATAATCAATCACTACTTGTCCTTGGTTGCAGCATCTTAACAATGGCCTGATAAGTGTTGTACTACTACGGCTCTTTGCTAGCTAGGACCAAATAATAAATGGCAATCCTTCATCAACCTGAAGTTCCCATTCTCTAGCCTAAAGTAGAACCACCAATCTTGAACCAAACAAGAGCTTAAAGATTTGAACCAATCCTGCAGATGATGCTTAAAACCCCAAACTGCTCAAAGCCCAAAAACTGCACCAAAGAAAATGAATCAAGCAAAAACTAATGCCCAGGTCATCAACCCCTGGGTCAGTACCCTTTGAAAGACCAAAACCACATAATCAAATGACCAAGAAACTGAAAAAGGCCCATGCCCATAGAGTGATCCTAATCAATCCTGTTCTCCACATAAATTAGCTAGAACGACTTTCATATCTTCTTTCGCATAAGCAAGATACACCGGATACTTTGCACCTTCCATTGTCGCTGCATCAATATACTCAAAGCTTTTGATTGCCTCTCTAGTAACCCTTACGACTTCCTCTGAGTAATTGAGAATCTGTCCTTTATGGAGAGCTTCCAAAAATTGTTTGCTAGCAATTGATTTCTTGAAGAGGTTGATGTTATCCTTGATAACTTGATGAAATAGATTCAGACAGCCCTGGTCTAAAGGAACCTCTGCCAATGGTGTGTGCCTTTGCAAACTTTCCATCTCTTTCTCCATAGTGAGGTCAACAATAAGCCTACTTCTAAGATTAATCTGTTCTTCATCACGCCTAGTAGCAGAATTAACTACATGAAAGCATCTCCATCCCTCATCCTTGCAGACTTTTGCAGAACCAAGACCTTCTTGAAGAACAATTGGCAGTGGCTGTGGCATGTGGTTTCTTAATCCATTTGAGTTCCTCAATAATTCTGACAGACCCTTGCTGAAAAGTTTTAGTCCCTCTAAGTAAAAGCCAGCAGGAATGATAATCTGATTATGTGAGGACCCTGTTTTTGAAACAAGGCGTGCAAAATGTCCAAAACGATTTGAATCCCAAGAAACTTTGGCAGAGAATTCCCCATCGTATCTAGATATTTCCCAATTTTCATTTGAGAAGTCACGTCTGGTAATAGTATCAATCAACTAGTGTGCAATAGCCCAAGAGACTGTTAAGAATCGTGTTTTACCTGCTTTGGATTCTGAAATTCTGATACACTGCTCTTCAGCTAGAAATTCAAAGTCCTTGCTCTCTATTGAGATTGTAACCATACCGTTTGCACGGACATTTGGACCCGAGTTCCGGCGCCTCCAGTATCTTCTTCTTTCAGACTTCTTCCAAACCCTATTAGCCTGGAGAATCGCTGAACGTGATTGGAGTTGCTCACCATGGAATCTGGATCGGCCAAATTCCCTAACCCGCTGCCAGAGATGATCGCTGCCTTCCCCTCTCTCTACTACAGAAGGGTCTTCTTCAGGATGAAACAGGGGCAGCGTATACGATTACAAGAGAGATAGTGAAGAGTTTAGAAAATGTGGATTTAGTTCTCATCAAGGGCACAAAATACCCCGTCTTTTTGGCCTATGCAAACTATGATGCTGATACTGTTATGTGCCATAACAGAGGTGACTCACAATAATTTTGGTTCAGTTTCTCTATTAAGGGGAGTTGCTGTCTCTTTTGGGAGTGCACTTGATATCTGGGTTTTCTTGAGAGCACGCACTTGGGTTATAGTCTGTGTTATTATGAATTAGGTGTAAAAGAATGTCATGACATTGTTGAATTTTGATGGCACACATTCCCTTACATATTAAAGTCAAAAAATTATTGCATACTGTATGTTGTAATGATCATATTACTGACAACATCTCCCTAGTGAAAATGGGCTAACTTGTGAACCTTCAAACTCCAAAGAATTGTGTGTATGTGTATCCCTTTTCCTGGTAAATCTACTGCTCTCACATATTTTACCGTGCTTTATGATATACGGAGTAAGAATTACAAACATGGATCACCCATGACAAGCTCGACGTTGAAGGAAATTTCAAGTACTGAAGTTTACAAACAATTTAGTATGGTCTCACCCACAAATGGGATTTGGGGACAGTGGGTGTTTGACCTTATCCCTATTCCATAGCCATGTAGTTAGAGAGGCTGTTCTCAAGCGACCCTTGCCTCAAAGTTCAAGTACTGAAATTCAATGTGTTGTAATTGCAGATATCTACTTCTATGCCATATAGCCATCTCTATCAGACTACATCAGCATTGATTTTCCCATTCTGGATATCTGTTATTAGTGTTTATCCATTAGTTATGATCAAATCATTCACATCATACCACTTGTCCAACCAACGTTCAATTTACGCCGCATATTTATGCCACTCTATTAGTGTATATGGGTGGTTATAACGTGTATTGAACGGCTAGCGACAATAAAACCCGAGAGCTGAGACCTCTTCAAATGAATCACACCCACAAAACGGTATCAGGTTTAATTGTCGCAAGCTGCAATACAGCTCGTAAGTATGCTTCAGATAATTTTGGAAAATAGATTTGTGTTATAAGAGCAAAAGGTTGTTTTAAGTTTCAACTCAATTACGAAGTACTCTCTCTGTTTTTTTTAAAACAATTTCTCTTTCATTTTTTTCATTTTCTTTAAAAAAAATGACTAACGTATCCACCTGAAATCATTGCAATATACAACTTTGAGTTTGTATTTATATAATAAATTATTTAAATGATTTATCGGTCTTTTTTCTTTGATGTTAAAGATATAATTAGAAAGTTAAACTACTTAAATAAATCTGACTCAAGTCAAAACAAGAATGATTTTAGGAAATAGATAGAATAGTATTTTGCATAGTTACTAAAAAAATTTGTAAATTTCCAAGATGGTCCTTTGTAATGAAGTATATCTCCAAATCAATCATCAATAACTTTTAAATACTAGCGAGATACTCTGTATTTTATAATTGAGATTTATTTCTTAAATAGTCTTTGGTAGAAAATATCACTTAAATGCCGATTAACTTTGGTAAGTATTTGCATTATCTAAATTTAAGTAATTTTTCAAAATGATCATTGTTATACAATTTAATGTCAAATTAATATAAGTATTGACTATACATAATTCATGGATTATCAAAGTGAATTTACTTCCTTCGTAGCAATTAATAATGTGAAGACGTTACTTTAAGGGTCATGCTACACTTACAACACAAATTGTACCCCATTTGTACACCGCAGTTATACACAAACATTTTGATGGTTTACACCGACACAAGTGTTGGTGCGTTAAAAAAAATTAACACGGACACAAAGTGTTGGTGCATTAATAAAAATTAGTTTTACACCAACACAAAGTGTTGATGCAAAGCTGCGGGGTACAAAAAGGGGTACAAAATGTGGGGTACAAATAGCTTTATCCTTACTTTAAAAGTATTCTCATAACAAAAAAAGTATAGTATTCTCACCTTTCATACATCAACAACGAAAACAACATATATTTATGGAATGAGCAGCATCTAATTAAATTGGTTGGAAGAGGAGCAGTTTAATTAAGCACTTGAATGATGGCTTCTTCATACAGCTGCAATTAGAATGTGATGACATGCTGCAGGCAGCAGGAGCTATGGCATTCCGGCTTTTCTTATTCAGTTTGGTTATCAAAATTAAGAATATATTTCCATCTACTTGCTCATCAAAAAAAGGGTTTACATTAGATATTCTACTCAAATCTATGTAGTAGGAGCAGTAGACTAGTAGAGAAAAGTTACATTATTATTTTTTTGAATTTTGGCTTTAAAAAAACTAGATTTTGATTCTTCCACTACCACACTTAATTCATGGATTGTCAAAGTGAATTTACTACGATGGCATGGCGAAAATGGAATGCCACACGGTGACATGGAACATTTTAACCAATCAAAAATAGTCCAGCCAGCGTGTGACAAGTAAATGAAGTGGCAAGTCATTATTTTTTCACTTTTTTACATTTTTTATGTTTTTTAAACATGAAAATATTTTTTTATTATTTATTCTATTAAAAAATTATTCTACTTTCTTGTACTTTTTTTCATAAAAAAATTTAAAAAAAATTATTTAAAAAAAAAGTAGTATGAAGTGTCACACTCATGCCTCACCAGTCACCAAGCAAGGCATTTTGGCCATGTCATGCCATGATATGAGTGGAAGAAGCTTATGTGGCAGTGCATGACATCCCTCTTCATTGCCATTGTACAAGGTGAAAGTTTCACTTCCCTCAGCGTATGACCTGTAGCAACCTAAGTAAAACAAGTTGTCGTTGAGGTTGCTGAAGCACTTCCTAATATTAAGTCGTAAAACAAAGTGCTTCACCAACTGCTGAATAAACAGACTGAATCAAAAGAACAAACAGCACACAACACACAAATTGTTTACGTAGTTCGGGGCAATTTCTCCTACCTCTGTGAGGCCCACGTCAGTGTAACAGCCTTCCCACTAAATCAATTCAGAGTTTACACCCTCAATGACAACAGACTCGATCTATCCATTGATCTAAACTCAACAACTTAATGGGATGCAATAAACTCAGTTTATGCAGAGATACCGAGACTGAAAACTCTGAACAACTTATCTGCGACGTGTTCCTGGCCTACGCTCCAGCTCTTCTCAGTTCAACTGACTGGAACGCACGTTAATCTCTAAGCAGAATATTATTCTGCATGCCAGCCATCTGTGTTCTTCGATGTGCTTGGCTGATCAATTATTTAGGATTCTCTCTCGATATATTTTCTCTCTCTTGCTCTCTGAATTCACGCCCAAACTGGGCAGTTCTTCCTTTTATTTATACTCGCAAGGTGAGATCAACCCTAGAAGAATCCTGATATACCTCTACCTCCAGTTTTGTGCTTATCGAGTAGAATCCTTGATATGGTTTCCTTCTGATTTCGCACATGTCTTCTTCGGTTTTGTGAACTGCAGTCGTCTTTAGTTGGTAGAGTCTTTCTTCAGTTTGGTGAATTGCACTGTCCAGATGTTCAGGGACTGTTTGAGTGACGGACAGGATGCTACAGCTCTATAAAACACATAGCTAGAACAAACTGAGTACTAAAAACTGCTACGCATGGTTTTTATCAAAAATAAAGCCAACACTTATGACAAAGAGGCTAAGACACACCCAAGGAACCAACAATCTCCCCCTTTGGCAAATTTTGACAAAAACCACTACTCAGCCGTGTTGAACCTCTTCTCCCCCTTTTTTGCACAAAAAATGCCAAGCTTTATTTGAAAAATTTGGGGCAAAGAATGAAGAGTAATATTCAACCGATCAAGAGTAGGTACAATGTGACATAGAATACCTAAAAAATGTGACATACAGCTGTACCTACATCCGTCACTTGACCCACACGCAGTATACAAACGTGACAATAGAGTGCATAAGAGCAAGCATAGATCAGAATGAGCAATAGGACATATCAAATAAACCATAGAGCAAATCCAGCAGCATCAAACCCAATCAAAACATTTGAATCCACAAGCAAATCACCAGAGAACAAAACACATACTCCTGATAACCAAGAGGCAAACACAACCTCAACAGTAACACAAGCCATCAACAAAAATAGAGTTTTGTGAGTACATGATCAAATCAAGCTGAGTCCCCTTCCTCACTCTCCCCCTCAGTGTGACTCTCCTGTTCATCAGAATGAGTGCTCCCAATGATCTCCTCCACTGAGTCTGTGTGCTCCTCATCTAGAAACGCCTCCCTAGCCTGGCGCAGCAACATCATGTTCAGATCCGCTTCGGCTATCACATCTCCACCGAGATCACGAGGACAAACGTGTTGGTAGCCCACACGTTCAGCTCTGATTCATCTCCTGGACGTCACGATCTGTTTGGCGTTGAAGATCTCCTCCTTCGTGTAAATCGTAACCTTCTTCACGCATGGGAAGCTCCGGGACGCGACGGGAAGCTCTACATCAGCGTATATTCTTTGGTTTCTCACTCAATCGCTCCAAGTAATTCCCAGGGACCTTCTGCGATTTTTATAGGCTCCTCTTAACACAATCCTAGTAGGAATATGATAGTAGAAGTTGGCTTGAACTCTACTTCCTTAATCTTGATCCACAAGTAGCCTAAAGAGTTAGGATTCCTTAGCATGTACAGCTGGAGTTATTATCATGTAATCACAATCCCAATGTCCAATAACTCTTGCATACTCGATTTGAGAGTTACTGGAACCTCGGTTTTTAGCCAGGTGTGCATTGACGTCCAACGGCGTCTTTGCTACTCTAACGTCATCCTTGTTGAACTTGTCAAGGATTTTATCAATATAATGGGATTGGCTCAGTACTAGACCCCCAGGTCTTCTCACAATTTTAATTTCAAGAATTACTTCAGCCAGACCCATATCTTTCATGTCAATTCGCGAGTTTAACATGTCTTTGGTAGACTTGACCATCTTGTCATCGCTACCAACTATGAGTATGTCGTCTACATATAGACACAACATGACATACCCTTGGGATGTGTTTTTTAGATAAACACACTTGTCTAATTCATTAATTTTGAACCCAGAGTTCATCATTACCTGGTCAAACTTCTCATGCCATACTTTTGGCGCCTGTTTAAGACCATATAATGACTTAACAAGTTTACATACTTTCCTTTCTTGACCAGGAACTATAAACCCTTCTGGTTGTTCCATGTAGATCTCTTCTTCTAGATCTCCATTAAGGAAAGCTGTTTTCACATCCATTTGATGTACTTCTAAGTTCCGCAAGGAAGCTATTGCAAGTATCATCCTAATGGAATTTATCCTTGACACAGGGGCATATGTATCAAAATAATCAAAGCCCTCACGTTGATTGTAACCCTTAATTACAAGTCTGGCTTTGTACTTATCAATGGAACCATCTGGTTTCATTTTCCTCTGAAAGATCCACTTAGAACCTAACGGTTTGCATCCAGGAGGTAGATTCACTAACTCCCAAGTGTGATTCTGCATAATAGAATCAACTTCACTTTTAATTGCCTCTTTCCACTGAGGGCCTTCAGACGAAGTCACTGCTTCACGATAAGTTCGTGGTTCATTTTCTAATAAACATGTTAGAATATCGGGTTCAGTCTCTATCAAAAAAGATAGAGTCCCCGATTCAAATTCCAACAAATAAGTTAGAAAATCATTACCAAAGGACTTCTGAGTCCGTGTCCTTTTACTTCGTCTTAGTTCAGTCTCAGTTTCGGTTTCATCAATTATACCGGTATTAGACTGATCCAAGGAACCATCGTTCAACATTTCATCATGTGAACGTTTGGAAGAACTTGCTTCTTCCCTCAACTTTAACAGAAATATATTTTCGAAGAACGTTGCATTCCTCGATTCCATTATCGTGTTCTTATGTATTTCTGGATTATCAGACCTATACACTAAGAATCGATACGCGCTACCACTGTAGCCAATAAAGATTCCATCAACGGTCTTTGGACCAATCTTTATTTTCTTTGGTGGTGGTGCTAAAACCTTTGCAAGGCACCCCCACACTTTCAAGTATTTATAGGAAGGTTTCCCCCCACATATTTTGGGGTAGCCCCGAACTAAGCAACATCGCATTCATCATATCTTTGAGAGTGCGATTTTTCCATTCCGCCACACCGTTTGATTGGGGTGTGTATGGCGGTGTTACTTGATGCACAATCCCTTGTTGTGTACACAATTTGGCGAATGGAGCTTCGTACTCCCCGCCCCTATCACTCCTAATCGCTTTAATTTTGCGATTGAGTTGATTTTCTACTTCATTCTTATACCGAATGAAAGTGTCCAACGCCTCATCTTTACTTTTAAGTAAATAAATATAGCAGTACTTCGTGCTATCATCAACAAAAGTGATAACATATTTGTTACCACCTCTTGAAGGCGTTGATTTGAAATCACACAGATCCGTGTGAATTAAATCCAGTGGCTGAGTGGTTCGTTCAATTGTTTGAAACAAACTTCGCGTTGACTTAGCTTCGACACACGTCTCAAATTTGTGGGACTGGTCGATGTCAAACTTAGGGATATATTCCATGTTAATTAATTTCTGAAGAGATGCATAATTAACATGTCCTAGTCTTCCATGCCACACATTGGAGGACTCACAAACATAGGCAACATGAGTTTTATTAATTTTCTCAACAACAGTGAGTACATTAAGCTTAAAAAGCCCATCAGAAATATAACCTTTGCCTATGAATATTCCCTTTTTGCTCAAGATCAGCTTATCAGACTCGAACACCATGCGGAATCCATGTTTGTTCAATAGTGAGCCTGACACCAAGTTTTTCCGTATGTCCGGCACATACAACACATTATTCAGCATGAGCTCCTTGCCGGATGTTATCTTGAGCTTAACTTTGCCCACACCTTGAACCTTGGATTGGGCGGAGTTGCCCATCCACACCTTGTCGCCAGAAGTCTCCTTAAAGTCAAAGAGCATGGCCCGATTGGAGCAGATATGATGAGTGGCTCCGGTGTCAACCCACCACTCTTTCAGGTTAGACCCGACCAGGTTGACCTCTGTCACGACAGCACAAAGGTCCATGGCATCTAGCTCCGAGCAGAGAGCTTCTTCCTTCTTCTTCTGCTTCTTCTTCTGAGGCTTCTTGTGACACTCTAACGAACAGTGGCCCGTAATGCCACAGTTGTAGCATTTTCCCGCGAACTTGGGCATCGCGACGCCTCCTTTAGGACCAATCTTCTTCTTGTCCTTATTCGGCTTGGGCCCTTTGGAAGAACCCTCTTTGGATGGATGCTCCACGATATTGGCCTTAGCAACAGCTACTTTTTTCTCGCGAGTGAGACCCTCTTCACGGATCCGGAGACGAACAAGCAACTGTTCTAAAGTCATTTCTTTCCGTTTGAGCTTTAGATAGCTTCGGAACTCATCCCAAGCTGGCAGGAGCACATGAATAATCGCCGCCACTTGGAATGCCTCACTGACTCCCATTCCCTCGTCAGTGCACTCATTAAAAATGAGAATCAATTCTTCAGCTTGACTGACCACGGGTTTGGAATCCACCATCTTAAAATCCAAGACCTTACCGACAACGAATTTCTTCGCACTGGCGTCCTCGGCCTGGTATTTGTTGGACAGTGTAATCCATAACTCCTTTGGGGATGCAGCCCTGCTATAAACAGCATATAAGGCATCGCTCAAGCAATTCAGGATAGGGTTAAGGCACGTATAGTTATTCGCTATCCATGCCTCTTTAGCCTGAACTGTTGGCTCGTCCGCGTTCTCCCCCACAACGGGGGATCCTCCCTCAAGTACCTCACAAGGTTGAGGGTGGTCAGCCAAAATAACATTCTTTGCTGCCATATTTTAAAGCCAACTCTTGTGAACTTTGCCAGTTCTTTGACAGAGTTCGCAGGCAGCATGACAGTAGGATGTCCGACCGGTGCGGATGTGAAGACACCCGTGTTCGGTCCAAGTGAGGGAATGACCGGTATGGCCGAAGCCATATTCGGCCCGAGTGGGGTGACCATTGCGGCCGTTGACGCGGTTGGTCCAATAACCGAGGTGACCGGAGCGGACCCCATAGTCGCGCTCGATCCAACGAAGGTGGTGATCGGAGTGGACCCCATGGCCGCACTCGATCCGAAAGGAATGTTGATCGAAGTGGTCTGCCCAACAGAGCCACCCAATCCAGCCGAAACGTTCACAACCAGAGTCTCGGAACTACTCCCGTTTCTGGTGTGAGTGTCAAACCCGAATCCGTCCATACGCGCCATTGCGCACGGATATGACTACTACCTTAAGATTGTTACAACTCTTGTACGGATTACAACGGACGAGAAAGATGAACAGCCCCGGAAATAAATAATAAATAAAATTCTGAATTTATAATTTATTCAGAATATTACAAAATAAATAAAGTTGAAAATAAATTTCTATATCTTCAAACGCCCTTGTTATACGAGGACATTAAGGACTAGACAGCGAGGATGTTAAGCACTGGACAGCAAGGTCTTTAAGCACTGGACAGCGAGGTCTTTATGAACTGAACCTGCAAAAACACAATACCGTGGAAGGACAGCGGAGTCGCCGGAGCTGTCCTTAAGGTAGTAGTGCCCGCCTACCGTACCGGAAAAACGTGGGCACTCTCCTCCCAGGATAAAACCGCTATCGTGTGTGGAGATTGTACGGACCAACCACACACCAACGAACAAGAACAACGTAGGAACGTTGGCGACCAAAAACTTTAAAGGGGATGGCCGGAAATTTGACTGGAATACCAAGAGCTCTCTCAAAAATAAACAAGAAAGATTTTGTTTCTTTTTCTCTTTTGTTTCTCACGTAAGGCACCAAGGAAAAAGGAGAGGAGCACTTTGATTTTATAACTAAGGTGTTTAAAATGTGTAACTCCTACACCATTAAACCCTAACAATTAATCATGGCATTTGTGGTGTGTTAATGGTGATTAATTAGCCATTAACACGTCAGTCGTTACGCTACGCTCCGTTTAAAATTTGTCCCGAATAATTGGAGATTAATGGCCAGTTAACTCCGTAAAAATGGACTAATTTTAAACAATACGTAAAATTAATAAAAGAAGATTGGTTCAGTAAAATTGCAAAAATTGCAATCGTCACCTTATTCTTTTATTAACGGGTTAACTCTGAGAATCAAGTTCTCATTCACCCTCTACCATTTTTGGCGTATAAATTGTCAAAACATTTATCTCATTTAAGAGAACACACGTCCATTAATTAACGGTTAAAACCGTTAGTGGACCTATTGGCAAATATACCCAAATTGGTCCATTTAATGCCAATTAAAAATACCAAAAATTCCAACAACTCTTGCGCCAGACAATGGTTGATGGCCGCTGGGAACTCTTGCGCCAACCGGTGGAGCTCTTGATCGTCGTTGATGGTGGTCGGTGGAACTTTTGATCGCCGTTGATGGTGAATCTAAAGAGGCAAAGCGGATGGGAAACAGAAGGAACGGGTAGTCAATAGCAATCACCAGGAGTCCAGGACTCCCTAAAAAAATACTATATTGGATTATTTTTTGGAAAAATTATCTAAAATAATCCCAACTTTACCTGGTCTTTCAAAAATAATCCCACATTTCATTGTGATGCATAATAATCCCAACTTTATTGAAATTTGCAAGTTTTGGGACGCCGTTAAGTTTCTAACGGAGGGTTAACGGAAATGCCCATTTTAGGCAACAAAATGAAAGTTGAGATTATTTTTGATGAATTTTTGTTATATATATATTGAATATTTTATTTTGGTTTGTCATTTTAATTATGAAAATAATTATTTTGACATAAAATATTTAAAGTATATTTTTATACTTGTTTAAAAATGATATTGATATTTTATTTGATTTAAAATTAATTTTATATTAATTTTTGATGTTAAATAAAATACACTTTGAACATTTGAGTGGAGAAGAATTTCACAAATCCTTCTCATATCATTGTTCGGCCAAGTGGAGATTTATGGAATCAAATTTCCCTTTTGATTTATTCATTAGTGGAGCTAATAGTGTTTTGTCATTTAGTTGATGACAAAGTCAAATTAATCATTTTTCTTCCTTATAATTGGCACGCCACTTTGTAAAAATATGAGGAGAGTTTGGGCTATTGTTTAAGAGTGTAACACCCCAACCCGCATAACCCGAATGCAAGGACCCACGGATCGGGTTGCTACCAATTTCGTATTCAAACGCAATAATTTTCCAATCCATTTAAAACATTAACCTAACATTTCATAACCTATCCTCAATCATTCCAACACAACTCATGCTTTTCAAATCATAAACTACATGCAGAAGACATAATTTATGTATAGTCCACATAGATCAACTGTAACGATTCTACGAACGTAAGATTCAAACCTACGAATATAATCCATACGTTAGATGACCACGTACTCACCTCGAATTCGACGATTGGAGGTTACCGGGGTAGTGTTAGCGACGTGGAGACGAACGACGGCTACTTCTTCCTTCTTACTTCTTCTTCTTTTTCTTCCTCTCCTGCGTTCGTCCTTCTGCTCTGTTCCGTTCGGCGAGAGTGGGACGCGAGAGAGAGAGAGACGTGAGAGAGTGGGGAGAATTTACGTAACAATAGTATGGGGCGTAAGGGTTTTAGTCGTGCAAGGGGTATATTTATACTTTTAAGGTTTTGGGCTCCGTATTAACTAAACGTATCTGGCCCAAATGTACTTTCCGGCCCCACTAACTCCAAATTCAAATCCGATTTCACTGGTAGATTCGATCCGTCGAGCCCTACACAACGGTATAATTTTTAATATTAAACGAAAGGTATATATAATTTTCCACTGGGTCCGTCTCAGTAATTGATTAATTATTTCCAATTAATTAATTCTGATAGGCCGGGTTTCAGGGCGTTACAAAGAGTGTATTTTGCGTCCATTATTTCCTAGTGAGAGAAAATATATTATTGTGTTCCATTAATATCATTTTGTGTATAGAAAATATCTATAATATTTTCAAAATACTATTAGAAATTTTTTCTATAGAAATATACAAGATTATTTTTATCCCATTTTTAATCTTTATATTTTATACTACTATAATCTTTACTAGCATAAAGATTGCAGTCGACTCCAGCGTTGTTCGTGTGTCAAAGATGGAGACCGGACGCTTGAACGGTTACGTTTGCATTTTCAACTCTCTTCCTACGACTTCTTCGTTTTTATCTCTTATGGAGAAAGATATAAATTTCTTATTTACTATAAGTTTTAGTACGTGATTCTGAGCAAGATAATCATGTTAGGATGTTAAAATTTTATATTCCACTGCCTATCCTTGCATGCTTACCTTTCAAGATACTCTTGCCACAATCGTGATACATATAGACTCTAAACCTAACCTTTGAGAAAAAGGGTAGTTATCCCGAGTCGAAATTTGTATAGCAAAGATGGATTCAGTTTACCTACTGACAATGACGTACTCATCAATACTACTGACGGGCCGATATCCTGTGGACGGCCCAAATGAATTAGTTAATAGACCCCGGGTCAGGCGCACTAGAAATTCTTGGACATGGGCCAGCCCAAAGTGCGAGGCTCGGACTACCTCAACCCAAGACGGCTGTCAGAGCCAGTCCGGAGGAGATCGAAGACGGAGCTGAATGGCGGGGACTAAGCTGGAAAAAGTGGATCGCGCCATTGACGGGATAGAATCCCTTTGATTATGTGTTACCTTAACTGTCTAGAACCTATGTATAAATAGAGGAAACCCAAAAGGGGAAAACTCAAGCTGAATCAAGCTAATAATACACACCTAATTCTCGAGCTCTTGTTCTTAATTCATTGCTTACGATCCGTTCTCCGAATCGGATCATTTGGTGGGTTTATTGTCCATCAAATTGGTGCTCTCGTTGAGAGCTTGAGAATCATGCTCAAAGAAAACCTTCCAAGAAGACGATGGTGCAGACACGCAGCAATGCAAATGCAGGTACAAGAGCCCCCTACCAGGGCGAGAATCGCGCCACCGGAGGCCGGCACCCATCTATCAGTACGACGGAGGCAGAGGCCCTCATCTAGAGGGTCGGGATCACGGTTGAGCAATTCAAGGAAGTGCTGGCGGCTCTGACGCTCAATCGCGAGATTGTGGTGGAAGACTCGACTCGGGGCCGTAGGCGGGAACGCTGGACCTACGGGCTCGGGGGAAAAGAAGAAAAAGGTAAGGCGGTCCCAAAAGAAGAAGGCGACCAAGCCCAACGGAAAAGCAAGGATGGAGGATGCGCTGTCCAGACTGGACGAGGGAGACGAGTCTTCCTCCTTTGAGCGAGCGTCAGCCTTTGACCGCTTGGGGGACCCCAACTCGAAAAAACCTCGAACCTCCGCGTTCAATCGGTTGCAGGATACTCGGTCGGCTAGTAAGGGCGACCTAAGGGAGACGCTCAAGGAGAAGAGGGGAGAATCCTCTGCCACTTGTTGAGTCCAAAATATTCACTAATTATTCTCTACCAAATCAGTATTTTCGGGCATTAAAAAGTGCATTTTTACACTTAAATGATCATATTTGCATTCTAGGCATCTTTTATAAAATATGTTCATAATACACATTTTTCAGTTTATTTTTGAATATTATTGTTGTGGACCCAAATTCTCCTTGACAAAGGTTATTAGATATATTCTTGGAGCATAAAGTGCATGCTGAAAATTGAAAGCAATCCAGTTGGGCTCTACCCCGACTTATGGTTTCAAAGGAAATCCAGGCCCAAGATGTCAAAGCCCAAAGGTCCAACTCCAAAACAGAGAAGCTGCGTAAAAAGGAGAAAAAGAGAGAGTCGTGTGAGGTAGAAGAGCCGAAGACTCCCTTTCCTACATTGGGTCGGCTTCTTCAACGCAACTGGAACCGGAGAAATCGCGAAGCACAGCTGGAGGGCAGCGCCAATTCCGAAGTGAAGAATCCTAACCCTAGACAGAAGAAGCGATTCTCGCACCTATAAATCGAGGGAGGCGCTGCGAAGAACTTCACCACCACCATCAAGAACAAGAATTAGAGCTCAATCCAAAGTGTATGAAACCTAGGGGGGTTCGGGTCTTGTACCCAAAACCCCCTTCGTTCCCTTCTTCTTCCAAATTTTCTTGTTTTTTTTACATTTTTTTTGTTGAGCCTGTTGCTTCAGTTCTCAAGTTTGTTTTAAATCAGAATTGGTTTTTATTTGTTGAGAATTTTGAGTACAATTAGAGTATGGCTTTTTGATTTCCGCCAAGAATTTCATACTTTCATCAATTTTTATGTTGAAACCAAAGTTTG